ATGCCTAGTTACTAGTTCCTTATTCGAATAAGGAACTGGGAACTGGGAACTGGAAACTGGGGACTGCTTTGCCTAGTTACTAGTTCCTTATTCGAATAAGGAACTGGGAACTGGAAACTGGTAACTGCTTTGCCTAGTTACTAGTTCCTTATTCGAATAAGGAACTGGGAACTGGAAACTGGTAACTGCTTTGCCTAGTTACTAGTTCCTTATTCGAATAGGGGGAACTGGGAACTGGGAACTGCTAACTGATTTGCCTGGTTACTAGTTCCTTATTCGAATAAGGAACTGGGAACTGGAAACTGGTAACTGCTTTGCCTAGTTACTAGTTCCTTATTCGAATAAGGAACTGGGAACTGGAAACTGGTAACTGCTTTGCCTAGTTACTAGTTCCTTATTCGAATAAAGAACTGGGAACTGGGAACTGGTAACTGCTTTGCCTAGTTACTATAGTTCCTTATTCGAATAAGGAACTGGGAACTGGGAACTGGTAACTGCTTTGCCTAGTTACTATAGTTCCTTATTCGAATAAAGAACTGGGAACTGGAAACTGGGAGCTAACTTCACTGACCCATATAATATTGCATTCGGTTACCACAAAAAAAAAATTAATGTAATGGTGGCACCGTGTCGGTTTTATATTCTGTCGGTGGGCGTGGCTCAAATATAGCCGTCCACTACCGTTTTGTTCCCTGAGTGACATGTGTTCTCCTATCGCGATCATTAGCTTGTCTGCCCATGGTCGGATTAAAACGGTCCGTTGTTTGTTTCTGCAGCATTGCCAAGGAGATGGCCGAATCCGATCTGCACGACACGACACTTGAAACAAGGAAGAAGCTGGCGCTAAAGGTCACTCGCGAACAGATTTACGCTATGCTGACGAACGTTTTGGTAACAAACTGTCAGATCGCACCGCGTGTCACATGCGGAGGCATGACGTGAAGGGCGCGTCCATCAGAAGTGCGAAACATTGCTGTGGTCGTCGGTATGTGGTGTATATGTTGATGTGAGCCAGGTGTCTGTGGTTTTGGTGTCTGTGTCTATTGCTGTCCCTATGGGTGCTGGTTTCCGAATGTGGCTGGTGTCTGTCCAAAGCTGTGCATTCATCTGGCTACGGTATTTGCCATTGACAGCACCTGCGCCTCTATGTGATTGGTGACTGTGCTTGTTTCTGCCTGTGTGCGGTATCCTTTCTTTGACTCTATTTATCTGATGCCAGTGTCTGCGTGCGTGCGTGCGTGGGTATGTGACCGGTGTCTCCGTGCGTCCGTGCGTGCGTGCGTGCGTATGTGACCGGTGTCTGCGCGCGCGGGTATGTGACCGGTGTCTGCGTGAGTGCGTGCGTGCATGCGCGCGTGCGTGTGCGTGTGTGTGTGCATGCGTGCATGTGACCGGTGTCTGCATGTGTCGCAGGCCTTCAGCCACACGGCGGAGTACGATGCGGCCATCTCGGACTACTTCCGTCGCGAGTACAGCCGCGATGTCTCTCAGCTGCCGCTGCGTTACGGCATGAACCCCCACCAGGTGCCAGCACAGGTCTACACCACCGCGCCACGTCTACCCCTCACAGGTGATTAGTCACGTCTTTGTATGTATATATTATATACAGTGTAGCCCCGTTATAACGCGATGGTTGGGGTCCATATGGAAGTTATATATACATGGCTATATAGATGTTGAACAACAGTAGAGGCCGTCCATAGGTTGCAGGTTTGAATAAGCATCGAACAGAAATTAATTAAAAATACTCACGTACACTGTTACTGCACTTACAAAACATACACTTTATTCATGTTAAATAACTACAGATTCATGCTCTATGCTTCCCTCGAAACTTTTGCAGCTCTATGATGCGAATTCTGCAAAGTTTGTCTGAACACATTTCATACACAAAAAAACACCAAACCGTCGCTGTGACTGACGCCATCCTGCGGAAATGTCACGAATACACAACAAAAATAATTTTACTTCTAAATGCTTTCTCGACGTCGCACGAGGCATCGCAACTTGCGTAGCATAATGCGCTAATTATTGCACTCTAGTGCGAAATTTCGGCGAAAAAAAATGCCAAAAAAGGTGCTTTTCTATAGACGAAAATAGTGCAACGGTGAACAATCGCGGACGCTTACTCTTATATGCCTCCTATAAGAAGCAAGAAAAGGGGTTCCAACAACTCATCTGCGTTACGTCCGAAATTCGCGTTAATCGGGCGGCCGTCGGGTTCCACTGTATATATATAATATAATAATATATATATATATATATATATATATATATGAAATATATATTACGTAAAAACATTTGGACACACATTGAACATGCATGTAGATATGAAAATAAATATAGAAAATAAGAATGAGCATATTGCATATTGCATATTATAAACAGTGAATCATTTCCTGACATATATATTTATGCATTATATAATTGATGCAATAATAGTCTGGTGAACAATCTTGTAACGGTGATGCTAAGTTAACTTTTATAGTCACCGTTTGCCTTTAGTATAGTTACCGTATTACACAAGTACAGTGCTTAAGTTTAAAAATTGCACCCAATACTTGTTAGAGTGAGTTTGTTGATTTGTTTCTAAATTGAATCGCGATATGTTTAGGTTAGGATCTTTTTGTAAGCTACTACGACACGAATCATTATCATTAATGGCTAACTAATTACCACTGCAATTAAATATTTGGTGGTGAAATTCATTACATAAATACGATGTCAAGATAAGAGGCAAATGTTAACGTAATCGATCTAAAAACGTTTTGTCAGCTCACTTTAAATTTATTCGCGCGTGCATGCGGGTTCAAATCAGATGATCAGAATGAAAAGAAATTCACGGACGCTTGGCATAGATTAAACAACGCACTCCGCGTGTTTTAACGCAACTTGTTGTTACGTCCCTTCGGCTGCACATAATCCGTTGTTAAAGTTTCTGCACCACCAGGTATTATCTTTTGGCTGTTTCTCTCATGAGGAGCAGCAGGCCGCTGGTTGCGCTTGCTCCATTTCTTTGCTTGAGTAGTACGCGTGCGGTTTACTTCTCTGCCTGTTAAGTACTTCCCTGTTTAGCCTTCTCTATTCCGCCGCAATTGAACACCACATCCCTGTTTAACCTCCTTCTATTCTCCGTTTGAAGCACCGCCCTATCTGAATAACATCTCCGACGAAGACGTTGTCTTGTTTCAGTGCGCTAACCGGCGCGCGGCGGGTTCGTGAACCTGTGGGCGAACCGCGCGCTCAACGCATGGCAGCACTGGTAAAGGAGCTGAAACGAGCGACGGGCTGTCCAGACGGCAGCTTTCTTCAAGCACGTCAGCCCCGCAGGTGAGCGATAATTATCGTGCGTCCGTCCGCGCAGCGGCACTTGACGAATCCGTCGCCGCGGCGACGTCTCGCATCCGCCGATATACGGTATTGTATATAAGGATATAATGAATATATTTACGCTCTTGGCAACGGAGTGGAGCGGAGGTAATGTAATCGGTCGTCGTGTGTGTGTGTGTGTGTGTGTGTGTGTGTGTGTGTATGTGCGTGTGTGTGCGTGTGTATAGTGTGTGTGTTTGCTGATGTGTGCGAGTGTGCCGTGTGTGTGTGTGTGGCGTGTGCGTGTGCGTGTGGCGTGTGGCGTGTGCCGTGTGCGCTGTGCGTGTGCGTGGTGCGTGTGCGTGTGCGAATGCGTGTGCGTGTGCGCTATGCGTGTGCGTGTGTGTGCGGGCATGTGTGCGCGCGCACAGGTGGTGTGTGTGTGTGTGTGTGTGTGTGTGTGTGTGTGTGTGTATGTGCGCCGTGTGTGTGCGTGTGCATGTGTGCGATGTGTGCGTACGTACGTGACGTGTATGTGTGGTGCATTGTGATTGTAAGTAAGGGTGGCAGGTGTGTCATGGCCGTACCTCTATCTAGAAGACCAGGTCGTGTTGGTTAACGATGGGTAGCTGTCTTCAGGGAGCTAGTCGTGTCCAATGTAGGGCCGATCCTAACGATAAAGTAACCTGTCGTTCACACACACACACAACACACACACAACACACACGACGCACACACACACACACAACACACACACACACACCAACACACAACAACACACACACACAGCACACACACTCTAGCTGATCCAAACGGATGAGATTGCTACCCTGTCGTAAACACATCTCAGCCTGAATCCAACGATAACCTTGTCCCGTTCACACAACACACACACACACACACAACACACAACACACACACACACACACACACACACACACACACAAGCACACACACAGCACACACACAGCCAACACACACACACACACACACACACACCTCTAGGTGATCCAAGGATGACATCGCTACCTGTCGTTCACACACCTCTAGCTGATCCAACGATGACATCGTTACCTGTCGTTCACCCACACACGCCTTCTCTCACGGCGACTCGGCCGCAGCAGTCGTTGCGTTCACGTACAGGAACTCGTATCCCAGCTTGCGCATGAACTCGCGGCAGTTCGCGTCGCCCTCGACGATACGTATGCTAGTTTCTCCGAGCTCGCTCGTTCACGCGTGCGCTGTCTTCGCAGAGTCCGCGCGGTACGTCAGCAGGTTGTGCTTACCGACGAGTGGCGACGCCGCCGGCGCGTGCGCGTGAGTCGCCACGTACTCCCGCACCTCCGGCGCCACCTCGTAGCCGACGGTGGCATAGAGGGTCGGTGGCAACGTCCTCATAGCGAACCACCTCGTAGGGGGCGCCACCGCGGCGGAGGTGCGCCTCGCCGAAGTCGTAGGCGAGCAGCATCTTGACGCACATGTCGCCGACGTTGCTCGCCAGGTTGAGCCGGTAGACCTTTGCGGGGAAGCTTCTCAGCCAGGAGTTGAGGCGGCCGCGCGGGTCGCGCACGAGGTGCAGGATGTGCAGGGAGGGCAGTGTGGTGGCGCGCAGCGAAGCGACCGTGCGCAGCGACGCCCACAGCACCTTGGCGACGCGCAGCGGCGCCGCGCGGCACGTTGCGGCAATCTCTCGCTCGTCGAGCGTACCGACGCGGCAGTGTCTGATGCGCGTCTTGTCGTCGTTGTCGCAGCCAAGGCGGCGGTGCAGCGCGCGCGTGTTTCGGAAGCCGCGCTTGAACATGGCGTAGTCGGAGCGCGCGTATCGGACGTTTACAGGTGTGTTACGTATTCACAGGTGCATTACGTATTCACAGGTGTATTACGTATTCACAGGTGTGTTACGTATTCACAGGTGTATTACGTATTCACAGGTGTGTTACGTATTCACAGGTGTATTACGTATTCACAGGTGTGTTACGTATTCACAGGTGTATTACGTATTCACAGGTGTGTTACGTATTCACAGGTGTATTACGTATTCACAGGCGTGTTTCGTATTCACAGGTGTATTTACGTAATTGCACAATATAGCAATTACAGCTAATTACTTAATTACAGGTGATGGGATGGTTGGCAGGTAATTAGTACGTGGGTAAAAAATGGTGCGTTTTGCGAAAAATGCGTTTACGTTTAAAGAGCACGTCGTTAATTTTTTCTTTTTCATTTGCAGCTGCCTATACTTGGGTTTGGCTTTTCTCTCACCTTATGGGCTATTGTTCACTATAGCACGTTATTAAAAAAAAGAAAAATTAACTGATGAAGTGTATCCCGTTGTATGCAAAATTGTGTGTTTATGTGCTCATGTGCATTTTTCTGAGGAGTGGTGCGTAGCTTTCACCAGATTCTCGAAGGGATCCATGACTCAAAAAAAGATTAAGAACCACTGGTCTGGATGGTACAAATCAAATCTGACATTTAATGTTTATAGGCTAAACAAATATCGCTCGAATCAAACTCAGATGAAAAGCAAGGGGTGGTAGGTGAACGGTATTCGAACGTATAGGGTGCACGCCCGAGTAACGGGAGATGGGACGCGTAAGGGACATGTATCAAATACTCAAACGAGGATGAGACAGAAAGTTAGGTACACCGGGAATGACAGATCGGATCAGGAACGAGGGAGCGACAGAAGACAAGATGAACGAGGAATGACAAGTGAGTGATGCAAACATGAATTGAGAGAGGGGAAGAACGAGGAAACGACAGAAAGAAAGAAGAATGAGGAATAAGAGCGAGTAATGCGAACATGAAATCACAGACCAGATAAGGAGAATGAGGGAACGCCTGAGAGTAAGGTAAACAAAGTAAGGTAAACAAACTAAGGTAAACAAAGTAAGGTAAACAAACTAAGGTAAACAAAGTAAGGTAAAGAAATTAAGGTAAACAAGGTAAGGTAAACAAATTAAGGTAAACAGGGTAACTGCGCACCGAATAGGAAACAAGGAAATGACAGGGAAAAACGCGAACCATGAACAACACTGAATCGGGACTGAGAGAACGACAGGGAGTCAGGTAAATGAGGAACGATAGATCGGATAAGGACTGAGGGAACCGCTGAAAGTAGGGTGAACGAAGAACGACAAACCAGATGAGGTATATAATTATGAGCACCTGACAGGTAAAATGGGCTATACCACATGTAGGTAAAAAATTAGTTAGGTACAATTATGAAATTCCAATAAGTTGTTAGTTTTTTTCTGTTATTACAT